AAATCAACAGACCCTAGGTCTCTATCACTTGTTTACCAGTTACAAATGCATATCACTTATTTCAAATGCATAAGGGGAAATAACTCTCATATGGAATATTCATATCGCTTCGGTCAAAATAGGACAAATCATGCAAATGATATAACGAGCAATTTTATAAAATATATTTGTCGCTTTCTTTTACGGTTACGGAGGAGATGCAGTCACAAGGAAAACAGTGTTCGGGGAGATAACTCCTACAAAGAAAATTGTTCGGCTTAGAATGGGTGAAAATAAAAAGCGCATAAACTGTATGATACTATATAAGAAATATCTAAGCGACATCTTGCGAAACAAAAATTTTACGCGAGAACAAAATTTGGCGGAAGGAAATAATTATAATTAAAAACCAATTGTTCAGAGAACAATTGAAGGTCTTTCCACCCATAAAGATCAATTTTGATATTGAAATATTAAAGCTCAGTTAGATATATCATATCCAGCGTCAAATGATAGCGTATTGACACTGATTCAAAAAATATCTGGTTTCTATACATTTTTTTTCTAAATAAGGGAGATAAATTGTTACTTCCGGTTTGAAAAATGTCACTTCCGGTTTTATTTGATAGTTTACTTGATACTGATTATAAAAATTATGGTTCAATATACTTTTACATTAAATAAGTACAAAAAATAGTTACTTCCGATTTACACCAGGTCACTTCCGGTTGACTTTTCCATAGTCAAGTGGCTTGCCACGTAATGCAAAAAGTCCCATGGCTTTATCATATATACATATGAGGGAAAAGCAAAGGTCAAAATCTAGAACGTCAATTTTACCTATGACCTTGAGCTTAATTTCAAGGTCATAAACCAAGGGCTTCAAATCACAAGACTAAAGGTCTTAATTATATATGGGTAATGAGTTATGTCACTATATGCTTAACTTTTAATAAAAGAGGGGAGAAAACTCCAATTTAATGTTAGCGTACCCTTTTAACCAAAATTTATGTGTTACGACATGTGGCAACTTACAATTTAGTAAAAATATGTTGTCGATATCTTATACGGTTTTTGAAAAGAATTGAAAATAAGCCAAAATAAAAATTTAAAATATTACCTTGACCTCTGACCTTGACCTAATTTTCTTATTTTTGGATCAAGGACCTCAAACCAAAAGATCCTAGGTCTCTATTACTTATGGTTTACAAGATAGAAATGCATATCACTTATATCAAATGCATAAGGGGAAATAACTCTCATATGGAATATTCATATTGCTTCGGTCAAAATAGGACAAATCATGCAAAGGATATAACGAGCAATTTTATAAAATAAATTTGTCGCTTTCTTTTACGGTTACGAAGGAGATGCAGTCACAAGGAAAACAGTGTTCGGGGAGATAACTCCTACAAAGAAAATTGTTCGGCTTAGAATGGGTGAAAAAAAAGCACATAAACTGTATGATACTATATAAGAAATATCTAAGCGACATCTTGTGAAACAAAAATTTTACGCGAGAACAAAATTTGGCGGAAGAAAATAATAATAATAATGATCAGAACAAATACAATAGGTCTTTCCACAGAAAAGTGGAAAGACCTAATAATCAGAACAAATACAATAGGTCTTTCCACAGAAAAGTGGAAAGACCTAATAATAAATCAGAACAAATACAATAGGTCTTTCCATCGAAAAGTGGAAAGACCTAAAAAAAAAAACCAATTGTTCAGAGAACAATTGAAGGTTTTCCACAGCAATTTAAAAATTTATTGAAAAGAAGCTAGTTCGTGTTTACTCAAAGTTAAAATTGGCATCTTATCATAAGTTTCTTCATACTGATGCGATAAATAAGTGGTTTCTATATACTTCTGAGTAAAATAAGGGAGATAATTAGCTACTTCCGGTGAAGTAAATGTCACTTCCGGTCTCATATAATAGTTTCTTTCACACTGATTCCAAACATATATAGTTTCTTTATACTTTTGCTTGTAAACCAGGAAATAATTGGCCACTTCCGGTTTATCAATTACAAAATATATGGATTCCGAGTACTTTTCCATGAAGAAAGTGCAAAAATGGCTACTTCCAGTTTTCTCAAGGTCACTTCTGGTTGTCATTCTTCAAGGTCATATGTCATCCAACCTTTTGTAAAAGGTCATATGGCTTTATAATAACCAAGTTGAAGTAATAACCAATTAACCTTATAATTAGACATTTCAGGGGCACTTACTCCTATAAGATGCCATTATATTGTTTCAGACCAAATGTAATATATCTTCATTACTATAATGCAAACATTTTGCACTTGTTGTTTCATATATTTAAAAGTGTTTGAGAAAATGCAAAAATAAGGAAAAGTCAAAATTGAGAACTTGACCTTGACCTTTGACCTTGACCAAATTTTCTTTTTTTTTTGGACCAAGGACCTCAAATCAAAAGACCCTAGGTCTCTATCACTTATGGTTTACCAGTTAGAAATGCATATCAGTTATATCAAATGCATAATGGGAAATAACTCTCATATGGAGTCTCCGGAACTCTTCGGTGAAAACCAAACTCAACATGAGTTAAAAAAAACATACCAACGAATTTATTTGGTAAAGGTAGATAACTCCTTTAAAATATCATCGAATCGCTTCGATCCAAATTAGCCAAAAAATTCCTGAGGATGTAACGAACAATTTAGAAAAAGAATTTTGTCGATATCTTTTTTTGTTACGAAGGAGATGCACACACTTGATAAACAGTGAATAGGGAGATAACTCTTACAAAGAAAATTGTTCGGCTTAGAATGGGTGAAAATAAAAAGGGCATAAACTGTATGATACTATATTAGAAATATCTTAGCGACATATTGCGAAACAAAAATTTTACGCAATAACAAAATTTGGCGGAAGAAAAAAATAATAATCAGAACAAATACAATAGGTCTTTCCACAAAAAAGTGGAAGACCTAAAAAATAATAATCAGAAGAAAACCAATAGGTCTTTCCACAGAAAAGTGGAAAGACCTAATTACAGCAAAATTCATAGGAAGATAACTCCTTTGATAGAAAACCGTTTCATTAACAAAGACTAAGGCATGATAGCAATTGTACAGTAAGATCTCAGTAAGCACTTAAAATGTTTATAACAGAAGCTTACAGCAAAACCATTGAAGCAACAATTACATCGCTTGGATACATGTATTTATGTTAATATTACTAACATGACGTGTTCAGTTGCCGCGCACTTTTCTTTTTTTCAGAAAAATTTTCAATATCGTTCGTACATAGTGTTCAGTCCGTCAGGCTCTTAAGTTTTTAATTATTTTAATACAAAAGGCTTTGTTATTTTTTCGGTAAATTTATGTGCCAAAGACTCTTTCAATTGCAGTTCCTTTTAGATTTTTCAGTGAATGGTTATTTTGGTTGAAGAGGGTTGCTACTGGATTGTCTGTTTTTTTTCCCTTATGTTTGAAGAGTTCAATAGCATCATTTGATACAGTGTATCGCCTGGTTGTCCTACATATACAAGTTTTTCCGTATTTTTACTGAATATTGCATACTAGTACATTACGACCACAGTTTGACAGTTTTTTCCCAGATTGGTAAATTCTGATCCAGTGTTATAAAACAACATATGTATATGTTGTGTACATGTTATTATTTTGTACAAGTTATAAATTGATTGTACAAACATTTTGTACATGTAATAAATTGTATGGTGCCATCATACAAGTTATTACTTGTACAAATACAATTGTACAAGTAATTACTTGTACAATTTATATTGAGAAAAAGATAATAACTTCATTATTCTACCTTGGCCTATTTGATGTTCAAAACAAATCTTTTTCCTTTAAACAAATAATTTATTACTTAGCCTAAAGGTATAAACTTTTAACATGTGTGTATTTTTTATTTAACAAATATGTGAGCCAAACTGTTAAGTTTAGTAGGCATAATCTAAGTGTAAAGATGGAATCATGATTGGTTTAATGAGTCGAAATCAAGTCGAAAAGATTCAGAAAAAGGATTGGACAAGATTGGACATACCAGAGAACACTGAGGTTAACGTCAGAAAAGCAGTACAATTGTTTTCTTTAGGTGGTGGTCAAGGCCATGTTCACTGCAGCTGTCGAGGTGGCTGTAAGACAGGCAAATGTAAATGCAAAAGATTGAACTTATATTGTGTAATTCCGGATGTCATGCTTCCTTGTCTTGTGCAAACAAATAATTTATTTGATCTATCATGCTTGACTTTTGTTTGAGTTTTCAATATATTATATCATATATGCAACTTTTTTTTTTGAAAATAAATGGTAGAAGTGTTTCATTTTGTTTTTGCGTTTTAACGACTTTGTCACTTTGCACCAGTAGTCCGTATCTAAGTTGACACAAGCTATTTTATGTAAATTTGTTCAAGGTGTCATGTGAGCTTAGATTATTACTTTGCGTCAGCCGTTCGTTTGTAACATTTTAACATTTCAAAATCAAAATTAATAAACACTTGAAAAAAAGAAAGAAAACAAACACAATATGAATTCCAAAAATACATACGCTGAATGATGTCTACTGATCAAAAATAAACACAAATAAAGAAAAAAAATAATATAAGAAAAATAACACGACAAATGACCCCCAACAAAACCCAAATAACAAACCGACAGAAAGTTTTAAATAAAAAATTTAAAAAAAAAAAACAGAAGGAAGAAACAAATATAACTCAACGATAGTGAGTTGAACAAGTTATTATCTTTTTTCTCATCAAAAATTGTACAAGTAATTACAATTTTAAGACAAAAATCGAATTTTACGAAGTGAAATTGACTAGACTTACATCTTTCTTATACGGATTAGTACACTTGACATAAGTTTCGTTTTACGAGCGCAGAAGTGAGAAACACATTTAGCTTGTTTATGTTTTTCGATTTTGGTAAATGTATATGTCGCAAGACATTTGTAGGTAGTATCCAGTAATAGTGCAACCATTCAACAGTTGTTTGTGTGTGAATACTATATGTAAAAACATCTTACCTTTTTGTAACTACTATAATGTGTATGTTTACAGGCATACTATGACTACTATCTCTAATCAAACCGGAAATATGCGAATGTTTTTAAACTTAAACCAAATACGCACAAGGATAATAGTTACGTTAAAAGGTAACTTCTATAAATAGTACTATTCTGTGCAGTAATATAAAGGTTGTAAAAATATACCAATGGTTCTAAAACTAAACTAAAATACATTTATTTACACCAAAAGCTCACATAAATTACAGTAACTACATGAGCAACTGGTTTCCACCGTGAATTACAAAAAATTTAGTTCAACTTAGCCCTTTAAAATTGTATTTACAATGAATCACAGAAGATGTTTGCTTCATACATTTGTTAGGGTGACAAATATAAATTTAAGTGAAACTCCTCTTGAACAGCGAAATATTCTGAATGTTTGTTTATCCTTACATGACAAAATCGAAACTTAACAAATAAAAATAAAAATAATGATATGCTAAAATATAAAAAATAGAGAATAATGGACAAAATAGAAAAATGGTCTAATAAATAAAGGCAACAGTAGTATACCGCTGTTCGAAATTCATAAATCGATTGAGGAAAAAACTAATCCGGGTTACAAACTAAAACTGAGGGAAACACATCAAATATAAGAGGGGAACAACGACACAACAGAAACACCACACTAAAAATTAGAGAACAAAACAACCCCCAACCAGACCCTCCCATAGTTTTTTTTATATAGTATTTCGTAATGGAAAAAATACTAAATACATTATGTATATGAATTGGTGTTCATGAACTGAAAGAAAAATAGAAAGTTTTTTTTTAATTTCTTTTGCAGGTATTTTTGGTATACCAAAAGATATTGGTTGCCAAATGTGTTGCAAGGTAGTTATAAATTACAGCATAAAGCAAGGGAAGATAACTCCATTGATAGAAAACAATTTCAAAGACTAAAAAGACCAAGGCATGATAGCAATTGTACAGCAAAATCTCAGTAAGCACTTAACATTTTTACAACAGAAGCCTTCCGCAAAACCAGTTAGTCCACAGGCAAGGACTACAGAATCAACCTTCAGCAAACAATACATTACAAAAGTAGTAAGGTCATATTTCGAAACGTGTCTATTAAAAAAATGAGAGTAGATCATAATGTGTGTCTAGTGTCAGTCAAAAGGAATGATTACAAGAGCAATAGAGAATATAAGTGATTGAATTTATAAAAGTCATGTGACTGGAATGAAATTAATACAGAATTTAAAACCAATTGTTCAGAGAACAATTGAAGGTCTTTCCACCCATACAGATCTATTTTGATATAAAAATATTAAAATTCTGTTTAAAAGGGTAATTTCCAGCGTCCAATGATAGCTTATTTTATGCTGATTCCAAAAATATATGGTTTCTATACATTTTTTTTAAATAAGGGAGATAATTTGTTACTTCCGGTTTGAAAAATGTTACTTCCGGTATAATTTGAATGTTTACTTGACACTGATTCCAAAAATATATGGTTCTATATATTTTTATATTAAATAAGTAGAAATAATAGCTACCTCCGGTTTACACAAGGTCATTTCCGGTTGGATTTTTCAAGGTCAAATGGCTCGCAACCTAATGCAAAAAGTCCCATGGCTTTATTATATATACATATGAGGTATAAGCAAAGGTCAAAATCTAAAATATCAGTTATATCAAATGCATAATGGGAAATAACTCTCATATGGAGTCTCCGGAACTCTTCGGTGAAAACCAAACTCAACATCCTGAAGATATAGCGAGCAATTTGGTAAAATAAATTTGTCGTAATCTTTTACGGTTGCGAAGGAGTAGTGGCCACAAGAAAAACAGTGTTTGGGGAGATAACTCTTACAACGTAAAGTATTCAGTTAAGCGGTTGTCAGTTTCAAAAGCGTATAAACTGTTTGATATCATATACCAAATATCTAAGCGACATCTTATGAAACAACAATACTACGCAAGAAAAAAATTAGGCGGAAGAAAAAAAAAATAATAATAATCAGAACAAAAGCAATAGGTCTTTCCACGGAAAAGTGGAAAGACCTAATTAATACAGGCATCCCCTTAAACATTATCATTTAAATTTGTCCTTCACACAGTACCACCAAGATTTGACAGACAGAAATTCAGCAAAGAACAGCGCCAAATTTAAAAGAGAGATACATATAACCATACATAATACAGTTATCCAACGACAGGCGCAGGACAACAGTACTGTAGCAGTACCTGTCCTTAGTATAGTAATATGTATTTACTGCATATGAAATATCAAAAAGATGAACAATTAAAAAAGAAATGGATTACAGCAATTACAAGAAATTCTGCCAAGAATAAATATTGGAAACCATAAAAATCAAGTGTTGTTTGTAGATTCCACTTCAAACCAACAGACTTCATATTGGAAACAAGCCGTGGTAAGTAATATTTTGTTTACATCATTGATGACATTCTTAGACAGAGAAAGTTATTTTTATTTGCATGATTTAATCATATTAACTAAACATGAATTGCTATTGATAAACAAAGATACACTGCAAGTATAACTTCTTTAATTGCTATGTCAATTAATATAAATATATATATTCATAGGTCTTAACCATTTATTGTTAATGAGTTTGTGCAAATAAAATCTTTATATTTGTATTTTTGTATTTATTAAAAAAAAAGTGATGTCTCTACATTCATGACATTATTCTTTCTCAAAAATTGAATCTTAATATTTTTGTTATTTAAAAAAAAAAGTTATCAAAATACTTATCAGAACAGAAAAGTTTAAATTTAAAAAAGAATAAACATTGCAGCATTTTTAAATATATAATAGGTACAGAAAGACTGGTCAAAAGACTTAAAAAGGAGGCAGTTCTACATTTCTAAGTGTCTTTCCGTGGACCAATACTTTTGCATCTCCTTCAATTCTTAGAGAGCTACATGCAAAACAAGAAGGTAAGAACATAAAAGTGGTTTTAACACTGATAGTGACACTAGCTCTGAAGAAAATTGCACTGAATGGAATCGAACATAAACTTCCCAAAATCCAGTTACCGACTCGGATTCACAGACACGGCCAGCATTGTGTGTTTAAAAGTTTGAAGATGACCCTGCTGGTATGAAGTTCTACACTGGATAACAGTCCTATTATGATTTTACATTTGTATTAGCTTCTTTGGGAGAAGCTGCATATAACCTCAACTATCTATATTTTAGAAGTAAACAGCTTTCTGTAGAGAATCAGTTTTGTCTTATCCTTGTTTAATTACGCCAACACAAAACCAATTTCGAGTTAAGGAGGTTTTTTAATATTTCGGAAACTGCTGTAATTAACATATTGATTACACGGATTAACTTTATGTATAATCAGTGGAATGAAATAAATATATGGCCAGAAAGAGATTTGGTCAGATTTTCAGTCCTTACATCTTTAGACGTCAATTACCAAAAACCAGAATAATAATAGATGGAACTGAGTATCAAATTAGAAAACCTAGATCACCTTTTGCACAGCAGTCAACTTTTTCCACATATAAAAACCGAAACACAATCAAAATATTAGTTGGAGAAACACCAGGAGGACTTGTGTCATATGTATCCCCTTCTTATGGAGGTTCCACAAGCGATAGATTTAAGAACGCAGCAGTTTAATGACCATATGTCATCATGGCTGACAAAGGCTTCAATGTTCAATTCTTGTTTGCCCCGTACGATTTTTCAATCAACATGATCAACATACCAACATTTTGTCGTGAAAAAATAGAATGACATGTAAATCTGTTATGAAGGATAGGAAAATTTCAAAGTAAGAAAGAACGCATTATAGGGCTTGCTTAGACTTTCAAAATTCTGACGGAGCCACTTTACATTGCTGAGTCAAAGCTTGCTACAGAAATAACATTTGTTTGTTTCATGTTGTTTGCAATTTTAAGAACTGTATCATTCAAGCCAATGCATGAGAATACATCTTTGTTCACTTGGTTTAAAAACATTGTCTTTTCAATATAGAGATTGACAAATACTGTATTTATATCAATCTATTTTTTTCCATTTACTGAATGAATAGTTTTCTTATTTACATTTTATAATAGTTAAAGCATACATTGAATTTACAACTGTAACTATGTTCATACATTGAATTTATTTCTGATAAACTTGTATAGCTGACTATATGGTATGTGTTTTGTTCATTGTTGAAGGCTGTACGGTGACCTATACTTTTTAATTTCTATGTCAATTAATCTCTTGTGGAGAGTTGTGTCATTGGAAATCAAACCACATCTTCTTATTTTTGTATTGCCAATGTGTTGGTGGGTAACTGCTTCATTGGTGATAACATCTTACCAATATTAATGCATTCTATAGTCTATTTGTTTTTGTTTTTGTGCCTTGTTGCAATCTTTTGAGTTGAGCCAATTGCAACAAATTTTTACAGTTTGTGCTGTTATTTAAACCACTATCCCAGGTTAGGGGTGGGTTGAGTGCTCACAACATGTTTTTTTTTTATTGGTTGTTATTGGCATTGAATTAGCTGTCAGTATCTGTGAGTACTAACAGATCTGTACGTTGAATCCTTTTTGGTATAGGGGGAGAATAAATTTCCAGCCACGTCCGGTCTGTGTTTTTGGTAGCTGTTTTTCTGCTTTGTTGCTTTCTGATGAGTTAACAAAATTGAGAATGGAAACAGGAATGTATCAAAGAGACAGCCCTTTTCAATTGATTTTTATAGTTTTTATATTGAACTGACTTACACCACTGTCCTTGGTTAGGGGAGGGGTTGGCACCAGCAAACATGTTAAACCATGCCTCATTTTGTAAGTGTCTGTCCCAAGTTGGGGGCCTGTAATTCAGTGATTGTCATTTGTTATTATATATCATATTTTTTGGGGTTTATTGTTTTGTGCAAAAATCAGGCTCTTATCTTTCGCTTTTTAATCGTTTTACATTTGTTATTTCATGGCCTTTTTTTACCTTACTATGCGGTATAGGTATTGCTCTTTTTCGAAGGCTGTACAGTGAACTATCTTTGTTAACTTCTATGTCATTTGGTCTCTAGTGGAG